GACCTCTCTATCTGTTCTCTTTTATATCTATTTCGACCAATTAAGATTTTTCTCAGTCGCCACCAAGGTTGCAGACATCAAGCCCATAGTATCACTGACGAGTCTTAGAAGGACGAATCAGCTATATCACACAGTTTAAAGTATCATTTGTGTATCTTACTAAAACATTTTGTGTTTATTTTTTATAGAATTTTCTTAAGTTGACATCCCGAAAACGACGTTTTCTCTCCATAAAATCGCACATTGTATAAAGATATATTGTGGGTTAAGTACCATAGGTTGTATTATTCATATATTTCCACTTTAAAGACAAAACGAGGGCGTTTTAGCCCAAATGAACCATTTGGATTCAACATCAACCGTCTTCAACAAAATCTACTTACGTAATATACTCGGAACAAATCCTCCATACTATAGGTAACCAAACACGACAAATGCCGTAGAAGAAGAGAGTATTTTTCAATTGTGACGATCGTAAAACTTTCCTCTTCGTAAACCTGTGTGTGTATCGGACTATGAAGTGTAAATTTTCTTCGTCGCTATCCGTCATGCAAATTCTGATATTGGGCTAAAGCTCTTGTCGAATCGTGACCAAATTGAAGGAGGCGTTTACATACATAAGATAAGCGTAACTGGGATATAGCTATGACGGCTGTCGTCAATGAAGCAGAAGACGCTAACCCTTGCGGAACAACTTGTCTTTTTACCTGTTGGTTGAAATCTTTCTTTGTTCTTAATTTGCCCTCGCTTGAATTCCTAACCTATAACTTGTCGTTATATCTAGGTGATTTAATGAGACTGTTGGATAGCTTTGGAATCTAATTCCTACAAATAGTTTATCCCTTGGTTTTTACATACCTCTGTCTTTGTCCTTCATTTCAAATTATTTTACAAGGCAACATCATGCGATTTAGCATATATGCAAAAGCCATTAACAAGAACAAGTTTGAAGACGGTGCAAATCCCGATTCCATGTTAGCTCGATTTCATTTAAATTGGCAGACGATTTTTAAGAGAGAAATCGTCAGCAAATAGTCTGACAAAGGTTTGAATGGGAAAAGCTAAGTCATCGATATAAAACAGGAACAAAATTCAACGTCGGTTGTTGTCTGAGAGTGAATTAACATTCAAAAGAGCATTTGACATCGCATATTCGATGGAATTAGCGAAGAAAAAGGTAATAGATCTTCAACAATCTACTAGTTCAAAGGAACAAGTCAACGAGTTGCAGTCTTCGCGAAACTCAAACACAATAAACAGTTCAACAAGGGACATCAAAGTTGTGGAAGTACTGACAGACATGACAAACCATGTTGGCGGTGTGGAGGGAAGCATAAATCTCACACATGCAGGTTAAAGGACTATGAATGTTACAAGTGTGGTCTAAAGGGACACATTAGGGATAAGTGCCCCGACAAGGAGGGGGATAAGTCCGGCAAGCTGAATAAAAGGCAAAGTGGTCAGTACAGCAAACAGCCTTCCAAGGTCCACATGATGGAGGATTCTGAGGACGAGATGTACATGATGTATCACATCAATCATTTTGGGGGATGAAGAAAACCCTACCATGTCAAACTTCAAATACAGGGTAAGAATGTTGACATGGAAATCGATACAGGCGCTGGAATTTCAGTGTTGAGTGAAACAACATTTCGCGAGTTATCTGAGGATACTGGACTCGCACTCAAACCCACCCACAAGTTACGCACATACACAGGGGCAAGTGTGCCTACTTTAGGCTACTGCATACTCACATTGTCTTATCGTAACTTTACGAGAGAAATGTCGATTGTAGTAGCCAAGGGTAACGGTCCGAATATATGGGACGCGACTGGCTCGGGAAAATAAAGTTGAACTGGGATGAGATATTCAAGGTCGGTGAGGATCATGAACTCAGTGCTTGATAAGCATAAGGCAGTCTTTGCAGAAGGACTGGGTAAAGTGAAAAACTTTAAAGCAAAGATCTATGTGGATCAGAACGAGAAACCGCGTTATTTCAAGGCAAGACCATTTTCCTACGGGTTGCGGGAAAAGATTGAAACGGAACTGGATAGACTGGTGCAGGAAGGCACCATTGAGCCTGTTGAAATGTCAGAGTGGGCGACGCCTATCGTACCCATTGTCAAGTCGGATTCTACCATTCGTATCTGTGGTGATTACAAAGTTACGGTCAATCAAGTGAGTAAGTTGGACAACTACCCAATCTCTAAGACTGAGGATTTGTATGCTAGTCTTGGAGGTGGAGCTTTTTACTCGAAACTGGATTTAAGCCAGGCTTCTCAGCAGTTAGAGTTGGACGCTGAGTCGAAACCCTACACAACAATCAATACCCATAAAGGTCTGTTTTGCTGTAATCGTCTACCGTATGGGATTTCGTCAGCTCCCGGAATTTTCCAGAGGACGATGGAAAATATCCTCCAAGGTGTGCAGCAAGTGGAGAATGTTGGTATACACTTGAAAAAGAGTAAATGCTTTTTCATGAAGGAAGAAGTTGAGTATTTGGGATCACTGGATCACTGGAGAGGGCATGCAACCGATTGAGGTCAAGGTTAGAGCCATCAAGGACGCTCCTGCACCCAGGAACGTGAAAGAACTTCAAGCTTTCCTTGGTATGCTTAACTATTATGCGTGCTATTTACCCAACATAAGCACAGTGCCTGCACCACTTCACACATTGTTAGCCAAGGAGACTGACTGGAAGTGGGGAACACGCGAAGAAAATGAGTTCGTCAAGGACAAGAAACTTTTACAGTCTGATACGGTGTTCATGCTGAAGAAGAAGCTAGTGTTGTCGTGTGATGCTTCTCCTTAGGACTATGGCATCTGCGCGTATCCAGAGGTGGGCGCTTCTACTCGCGGCATACGAGTATGACTTAATCTACCGTCCGGGAACATTGAATGCAAACGCCGATGGGCTTAGTCGATTACCTCTGAGTGAAACTGTGGATGAGGTGCCAGTTTAACTCTTAACGCTTAACTCTACGCCCGTAACCGTTGAGCAAGTGCAAACCTGGACAAAAGAGGACCCTACGTTACAGGAAGTTATCGGCTGGGTGTACAGCGGTTGGGGAGAGAAGTGTCCGAATGAACGGATGAAACCCTATCACAACCGGAGACATGAACTGAATCTGTATGAGGATGTTCTACTGTGGAGAAATCGCGTAGTAATCCCTACATTTGGACGAGAATCTTTGCTCGAAGCCCTTCATGAAGGTCCCGCAGGCATCGTCAAGATGAAAAGTTTAGCTCGAGGGTACGTCTGGTGGCCAGGCATTGACGCTGAAATTGAGGAACGAGTGAAGTGTTGTAAGTCGTGTCAACTACAGGCTTCCATTACGGCCATGGTCACGCGTACATGTGGACTACGCAGGTCCATTTCTGGGTCACATGTACCTGGTCGTCATTTACGCATACAGTAAGTGGGTGGAGATTTTGGTTACAAACTCATCCACATCGGCAATCACTATCGAAAGACTGGGGTACGTGTTCGCGCAACATGGATTGCCAGAAATGTTAGTGTCGGACAAAGGTCCGTGCTTCGTGAGTGAGGAATTCAGTGTTTTTATGTCAGAGAATGGCATAAAACATGTAGGGACATCACCACACCACCCGCTTCAAATGGACTGGCAGAACAACAGAACACAGAGGGTAGTCTGGATAAAAAAAAACTTTGTCGTTATCTCCAAGCCTACCGGTCAACCCCTCAAACAACAACTGGATTGTCTCTTGTTCAACCGTAGAGTCAGGACAAAACTTGGGACTTAGTTCGTCCTAAAATTCGCGAGCGTGTACAGCAACAACAGCTGTTGCAGAAGAAACAACATGATCAACACGCGAAGGAACGTCAGTTCGCTGAGGGAGATTCCATATTCGCGAAGAACGTCTATGCTGGACCTAAGTGGAAATCGGGTGAAATCGTGTCGCGAAATGGACCCGTGTCCTATATCATAAAGGGGGGAAATGGAACAGTGGCTAGACGCCATGTAGACCACTTAAGGCAGAGACATTGCCTCCCTGTGAAAGACGTCGACCCTGACATTTTATGACACCATACCTATCTCTGTACCTGTATCTGTACCGGTTACTGAGCCCAACGACTCAGTTGGTAAACCAAAGCCTGCAGGTAACACATCGACACCTGTACCATTTACAAAATCGTCGGTTAGTCCAGGAGAACCTTCAAGGAGACCCCAAAGACCATGTAAACCACCATCGTACTTGAAGGAGTATGTTCGTGATTAGCTAGCATTGAACACATTATTTTGAGTTCCTGATAAGCTTTGAGTAAGAATGAACTGTGTTCTATAAACTTTATAAACTTAAGTGTTAAGTGTTGGTATCGCGCATTATTGACTGTGTTTATTGATGCACTCTATCTGTGCAAGAGTTTTTGGTTCAAGAGTTAATAGTTCACTTCATTTCTAGTTATGGGAAACTTTAATTTCAAGAGAACAGCATCTCACAATCGGTGAATGTCTTCGCTGTAGGTGGAGGGATGTAGTTTTTCTGTAAATTGTATGTACCATCGGCTGTTAACGCTCCGTAGCGGATCGGTTACAGATGCTGACGGACGCTATGTCGGTAATTGGTAGTACGTGATGTTATATTGCACGATGGGTAATAAAACCACATGTTTTGAGTAGCCATCTTGACCTGGTGTTGTGTTAGTTGTGTCTCGGTGAAGAACATAACAGTTAGATTTCCTGATCTTGGCTGGCGCTGACTGGGACCGTCTCCGCGGAGGGTGTGTTTATTAGGATATACAACTAGAGATAGTTATTAATTTTATAATGAATTGATTTGAGATAGTCAAAGAGTTAAGGTTATTTTAATTAATGGGTAGACATGTCATAAAATATATAACGCTACACCAGAGACGTATATAACACACACATATATATATACGTCTCCGGCTGCACTAACACGTGTTTGTGTAGGGTATAAACTTTTCCACGAGCAGCATAGTGTATGAAATCTGGCCAAGTCGGTACGAGTTACCTATCGGTCCCTGTCAGGACAGGTCTCAGTCAGGGGCAGTGCTGCTGTCTGATGCGAGAGGATCCGTCTCCGAATGTACTACCGTTGTTGCCGGTAATATGTCAACGTTCACGTCACCTTTGTGACCTAATTTTTTTCTGTGTACATGTGTGTGGCTATATATATACACAAGATTTATGCTGTAGCAAGATGTTAGCTGAGTGTAAAACATTTTTTTAAACAATAGGATGGTATAGTGGTGCCTGTCGTCATCGAGGGTTTGCTGTGTTGATTCAGATAAGGTTTGTCATTATTGTAACCTTCTTTCAAAACTCTTTACGAAGTCGGTACTTGTATGAAGATGTTCCATCGTTTGTCTCGCGTTCGTACAGATATAAGCATCTAATAAACACGGTTGGTCAATATGTCCGTACACGTTCCCATTTCTATAAAGAGAGAGAGTTGTCAACACAGCGAGGAATTTACAACGCTTGTAAATATCACACACGTGACACTCGCGTGACGTGGTCTGTTTTGTTTTCCTTACATCGTTAATCGTACCTACACATTGGCCTTCGACTAGAACAAGTTATGTATTGAGAAAATTGTGAAATGCGCCGCTTTACCATAATGGTAAAGTGATTCTCCCTGCCCCTACCCTGCATGTTCTTATCCCAGACATATTTTTGATTGTTTATGTGTTTAAAAGAATTAATTAAGATGATTTGGCGGAAAGTGACGCCTCTGTCCCACCTTGTATTTCCCCACTCAGACATAGTTTTGGTTTTAAATGCGTTAAGGTAGCAGGAAACAGTTGATTTGCATTTTTTCTGGAATGATTTGTCATGTTTGAGATATACAGGTATAGCAGATTGGTTATGAAAAATACATCATTACATGTATATATATTTATAAACTACATAACAATTACATTAACAGTAGAGAGATGAAATTTGTGTAAAAAAAAATTCCTCTGCTTTCTGACATTTGATTGTCAAGGTTACCTACTGAAAAAATGCTAAAAATGCAAAAATACCGCTAATTCCAACCTAACACTACAACTTTCTAAAAGAAATTTAATTCTAAACACCTGTCTTACAATCAACAACACTGTCATGGTAACAAAGTACTTACATTTTAGCAAATTCCAACTCGGAAATTCTTCATAACATGACCACATGTGAACACTTCCTGTAAAGCTAGTTTTTGGTGCGTAGACACAGATTGGAGACTGCCCAAATAAAATATCATCCTGAAAAAAAACAACAACTCCACATTGTCCACTTAAACATGACAGGACCAATTTTAGCAAGGATTTTTATTTAATTAAAACCTTTATAATGGGGTAATCTAATGAGCAAAAACATCACCCATGGCCACACCGAGAAACTGTGTACTGCTACCTAAAAGGGTTTGATACAAACAATCTTAAAGAATTTGATGGGAAAAAAGTAATTAATAGATAATGCCCCATCCTAAATTTCCCCGTTACTGACAAATATGATATATATTTGTGTTTGAGTAAGAAAACGTTGTAGGCGTCACTTGTACTGTTATGTAATCGTGTACATATGTTCTGAATGGTTTGGAACTCTTCAATTTGGAAGTAAGAAAGAGAATAACATCCTTCACCAAGGAGGCCCCCTGCTCCATCGTGTCATTTCCCGACCCTTGGTGTTTTTATTGTTATTATTATTTTCATGAATAAAGTAATTAAGCGAAGAAACACCAGTTGAAAATTAAGTGTAAAGCGGGTCACTTAATCATACTATACTGAGTGATTCTAATTTGTGGTTTGTTCAGGTCGTCTGGAGCTTTATCATTAATCGATGTATTATTGTATTTATTTAGAAACGTTAAGATTTTAAGACATTACAATTGCTTATAGGATTTCATGTGATTGGTGATACATTATAATCTTCAAATCATGGAAGTCTTTAGTTATTGAATACAAACAGCACACTTGTGTCGTGGTCACGGCTGAAACGTTTTAAATATTACCCAAGCTTTTTGTTACAGGTGAGTGGCGCCACATACGATCAGCGGTACATGAGCTGCCTGGGTAATTTTTTTTGCACACGGCGGAACAAGATCAGTTTTTGCCAAACATGGCATCCATGATCACGCCGACAATGCTCGTCGTTATTTTACTGCTTTGTGGTCTTGACTACGCTTCCATGTTCCAAGTGTTGGACTTGACTCACGATCTGAGTGCTAAAACGTTGTACTGGCCTGGAAATCCGTCATACAACTTCACGGAACTAGCGAGAGGACAAATGGACAATTTCTGGTACGTCATGTACGACAGTAACGACAATAGTCAGTTGTAGTATATCTGTTTACTGCGTTTTTGGCCTTGTGGTATAAACAACTATTGAATTGATGAAAAACTGTATCATGAATTGGTGATACAGGAAATATTTACCAGTTAAAACTTTTTTAATATTGACTAATTAGTATATTTGTCCACTGGTTGAAATTCCGGGCGATGTTTATGCCCTGTGACAAATAAAACCAAGGTTAAATAAACGTTTTCTTCAAATCTTGATCAATTAGCTGTGTCACGGACTTCGAGTAGTTCACTGAGCCAGTAGATATGAATGAGAGAGTTTTCAAATGTACGTCCGTGATATAGCTAACAGTTAATATATATAGTCAGTCTCTCATTTACAAATGTACGTCCGTGGTATAGCTAACAGTTAATATATCTAGTCAATCTCAGTTTTTTGTCGCTGCGTATAACTGGGATTTTATGCGACACACAGTACTCGAAATTAATATTTAAGATAAAGTTCAGTAAGGTATTTTGATTTGATTTGGTTGAGTATGATTTGAATGGGTTAAATAAGGATGTGGGGCATTTAGTGTGTATAATGTCGGTCCTGTATATGAATGCAATGACTTCATTAAACAGAGATGCTTATATATCTTGTGTAAGGACCTCATGATTCGTTGATATTTTTTTCTGAAAATTATGAATACGGAAATATTTTATATAAGTCCGTGATATAAATCAGTGTTTCATATTTAAGTACTGTAAATAAAATCAAATATTTTGATTGTCGACCTCACATAAGTAAAACACACGAATGTTAATTTGTCATTGTGATATAAAACACATTGTCATTGATAAAAAAAGAGTAGTGTTATGTATCACGAGAAAACACCACCTACTTGTTTAATTTAATCCCAGAACACGAGAAAACACCCACCGTACTTGTCTTATTTAATCCCAAATAAAGTATCTTATATTTATAGTCATTTTACAGGAAACGAAAAATATTTTACTTTCAATTAATTGTATAACTCGGTAATATAGATATTCATTTTTAAATTCCTCATTACAATTATGGAACGCTTTACCTGAAGACGTCTTTCGTGAAAAACCCGTCTGTCAGTAAATTCAAAAGGTTTTTTTTTAACAAAATGATAAGGTAATGGCCCTCAGTACTTAAACATTGGTAGCAGACTCCTTCAAATATTACATGATTACGACTTCAATGTAGTAATTTAAAAGAGCAGTTTTATATAAGAAATCTAGAGAAGATCACTATGTAAATGTGGTTTGGATGGAAGTAGTGTCCCTTTCTTATTATCATGTAGTGATTATACCACAATGAGACAAAATACAAAACTACAACCCGACATAAACCTTTCTGAAGGAAATCTTCTATGGGGAAATGAAAGTTACTCTAGACAAAAAAAAAAAAAAAAACGAATTCACTATTAAAAGTAAATATGTAAGTTAATTAAATTACTCAAAATTGTGTTCAGTTAAGACATATGTCATATATTTTAGTGTAGTAATGAATTGCTTTTTCCTTTTTACCCGTACAACCATTGAAGCTACGTCATATATACATACGCGATTTCTTATTATCGTAACATTTTTTTCTAATACATAATGGCAGATAGATTACGATTTAAAATCCGACATATATCTAACTGAACACAATTTTCAATAATCTGATTAACTTACAAATTAACTTTTAATAGTACAACATTTAAAAAAAATCATATCAATTAAGTAAGCGTTTTGATTAACATAGTCTTATAGTTTTTAATGGGTATTTGTGTGGAATCTATTGTAAAACCAGCCATTTTTTATAGATGTTACATGATGCCATCGCAGACTGTAGCTTGTCCTTTACCACAACTATCAATTACGGCATCATATACATTGTATATGAGCCCAAGTAACCTTGCAGTGTTTTTAGACGATATGACATGTACCCGTTTTTTGCATATGTACTCTGCACGTATATGATGACGTTATCGCGTGACGTATTGTGTACAGGACTGTAGGTTGAACTCAGTCATCGACCTCGGCGCAACTCAGCACTTTTATACTCGCATTGAATGCTTATTTCGTTCCCATACCTGTTTACGGCTGTATCCCTGAACGCATACATTTTAAAAACATGTCTTGGGTGATATGTTTACACAGTGATTATAGTCTGTTTCCTTGTGTAGGTAGTTATATTTACCTGTACAAGTTACCTGTATTTACCTGTGAGTGTACAGGCATCCTGATTTTAGGGTGGGAAATTACAGATGAGGACATATAGTGTATAATAGACTTATTTAAAGTGAAAAAAAAGAAGAAATTACAATTGTATGGATTATATATATAAACTTTAAACAAATTATTTAAGAAATGTTCAATTTACAAGATGAAGGATATAAATTGTGTACAATTTTGTGTTAATATTTTTTAATTTATGCACAATTATGCATGCATTCAATTTCATTTATTCAAATCACAATAACTGCTTGATATGATTATTTTGATTATTTTCTTTAAAAAGTGTTTGTATAGTAAATTTTATATTCAAATGATGTTTGCTAAATAAATTAATTGATCTAAAACTGTTCACCTCTCAAAGATCAATTAAAAAACTGATGAACTCAGTTAATAGGACCAAAGCTACAGATGACATGACACTTTGAGGTGAGTATCCAAGCTATTCATGCAGTTTATCTATATAAGCTCCCACATTTTTCACATTGGTATAATTTACTTTGCTATCATTCAACAAATCTTCTAGTGTTTCAATTCCCAATCATGGCTAACGCTCAGTTAAATTTTAAGTTCACTAGAAATAGACTTGGGGGTAACAACTTATCATATAATGGTTACTTGTACAGAATTAGATCATCTCGAGGAGAAAGGTAAATACTGATGTAAAAGTTGTTTTGTAAAAAGAAATATTTTGTTAATTCTATCCTTGAAACAAAAACTCATAAATTGTATCAATGGACTTTTTTGCTCTTATGTATGCAATAAGGAAGAAATAATTAGAGATAAAAAGTAAATTGATGAATAAATAAATAAATGAAAATAATAAATCATATTTTTTATACATCATACTCTTGAAGTCACAGTAAGTGTTGCTTTGAAACACTGATAGATTTTTTTTTTCTACATATAAATCTCAAGTGTTGCAAACTATACATTTATGTGAACCAGACATTAATATCTTCTTTTTCTCTTTCAGAACTTACTGGAGATGCACCATTACCAACTGCCTTGCTACAATCAACACCCGCAACAACATCATAGTAGGAGTTGGACGGCAACCACACAATCACCCGGGAGACCATGCAAGCATCGTAGCCAAGGAGATCATGAACTGCATCACTGACCGCTGCCAGAAAGAAATCAGACCAATCCCTACCATCTACAGTGAGGAACTCTGCAAACTGCGTGACAACGAATGGGATGAAGAGACAAGAACCGTTGTAGAGAAGATACCCACCTTCAACTCCAAGAAGTCACAGCTGTACAGAGCCAGACGCAAGCTTACACCAAAGCTACCAACCACTACCCAGGACATTGATCTCGAGGGAAGATGGACGGAAACCAACACTGGAGAGCGCTTCCTACACATTGACGATGATGACCAGAACAGAATCCTTGTCTTCGCCACATCAGAGGACTTGGCTGAGCTCGCCACCGCCGACCGCATCTACTGTGATGGTACTGTGATGGTACTTTCTACACGTGTCCCAACATCTTTCATCAGATCTACACGATACACATTGAGATAGATGGATCCATGTACCCAGTTTTCTACTCTCTTCTACCCGGGAAAAGTCAGCACATCTACACAAGATTCTTCACTACTCAAGACATTCATGGCAGACAACCACCTACCCATGTCGCCCGACACAGTATTCGTTGACTTTGAGACAGCTGTCCACAACGCAATCCGCACCGTCTTCCCAGGGACCGATATCAAGGGCTGCTTCTTCCACTACACCAATGCGTCTGGAGAAAGGCACTGATGACTGGACTACAGCTTCCATACCGGGACAACGAAGACATCAGGAGACTGGTTCGCCGTGCAGCAGTCCTACCTCTGGTACCTGAGCAGCAAGTTGAGGATGTCTGGTTTCACGCACTACAGGACATTGAGTACGCCGACCTACCAGCTGACGTGACACCATTCACGGACTATGTTGTTGACCAATGGGTGGATGGAGACCGACCAGTTTGGAACCACTACGACAACGATGGACCACGTACCACCAACCACCTAGAAGCCTGGCACGGGAAGCTGAAGAAGATTGTGCAACACGCCCATCCAAACATCTTCGAGATCATCCAGACATTCAAAGACATTCAGGCTACCAACGAAATTGCAAGACTCCAACGACGCGCCGGTGGAACCAGACGACCCCAACCCAAGAGGTACAGAAACATTGACACCCGCCTTGCCCTGCTGAAACAGAGACTGGAGAGCAACACCATAGACATCATTGCGTACGCTGATGCAGCATCTGAGCTTCTTCACTTGGGTTGAAATGTCTTGCCTAGACTTGCTCTGAGCAAAACGAATGACTTTGTACGTTGTGTCATTGTTGCAGATATTTATGTCAGTGCTATATATTCATCATTGAATTAGTGTTATCACTTATCAGTCTTTAGTGTCTCGTATATGCCGTTAGTGCTGTAACATCAATCAGTTTCTAATAGTGTGACATATAAGTGCAGTGTATTTATTAGTATTCATAGTCATGTTGCATATATTTGTCATTTCCTGGTGCTGTATATTTATAAGTTTTTGTAGTAGTGCTGCATATATTTATCATTTCCTAGTGCTGTATATATGTCTTTAGTTATGTGCTGATATGTTGTACATTGATCTTTCTTTATATCAAAATATTGTACCTTATAGATTTGATTTGAATTTAAAGTTAATTGAAATATTATGATAGAATATATTCATACATGTTGAACTTGATATTTTAGTTGAAGTTACATGTTATTTAAAGGTAATTGTGCTA